CAACCATAAAAGTTGATACATCAATCGTGATTTGGTCAAAATTCAGTGACCAACTGAAAACTATTTATCTATTTACTATTTTGGTATCATATCATAATTTGAGGAAGAGGTCAGAGCATTGATCTGAGTTTTACCTACATTGTACCAAATTGCGGCACTACTTGCCTCAGAATACTTCATACTGTTAGGTAAAGAGCTTGTATTGTTAGAGACATCAACAAATAGTCCCGTAGGAGTAAGAACTAAGTGAATGTGGGCAGGGAAAGCTTATTTTTTAACAAAATCTCTGGAATCTCCAGAGAAAGAATTTAGGGAGAAGGAAAACAAGGTATAAAACAAAAACAAAACAAGTATAGATGATGGGAGAGAGGAGACAAAATTACATGAGGCAGTAGTTATAAACCCCCAGGGAATGAAAAGAGGTAATAGGGAATTAATGCTCAGTGTATAGAAGTTTTATATAAAAGTTTTAGATTTATATTTTTACAGTAACTTGATGACAGCAAAACTACAGACAGACCACAGGACTCATTTTCAAAATACAATGACAGTAACTTTATATTTGCACTGGTTTTATTTGTCAGATTGAAATATCCAATTTAGTTTTTCACCTGTTGTTACATTTTAACCTTTATCTAAAGCTGTTTGGAAACTACTAAGATTTTTGAACATAATAAAAACCTGTTATCAAATGTTTTATACTCCCATAGAGCACATTAGTGATTATGATTACTGCTGTTAAAAATTATCAAGGCATAATCATGTCACAAAATACCTGAATGCCATTTTATTACTTTATGAGATTGGAAATGACTGGAAATGAAGATGAGGAGTTGCCCTGTTTTTTCACATATCTTTATTACTGTGAAAAAGAAAGGCCAGCATTGACCAGGACAAGAACAACAGGCTATTGTCACTTTTTTGTATTCACAAATTAAAAAGTGTTTTTGCCCTGGAGATGGAAACCAAACCAAACTAGATCAAACCAATAACTGCAACACAAGCAAAGCAGCATGACGTACTTGTAAAAAGAGGGAAAAGACCAAACAAGCCAGGAGGCAAGTTTTTATTTTACGTGTTTTATTCATTATCAGCACAACAATGAAAACAACACAAAAACAAATAACAAACAGAATCACATGTATTTAAAATCATTACATACATTTACAAATACATATATAGGGAAAAGTGAGATATAGAAAAGAAGAAAAGAAAAAAAAAACTACAAAAAACCCCAATTATTTACGATCTACCATCTTCACTCCAGCAGTGGACCTTGGATTCATCGGGTGTTTCGGCCACGTCTATCACTAGACACCCTTATCCGAGGAGGCCCCGCCAGGGTTTATCACGCCACGGAGTGTGTCACTGGTTTATGTTAAAATCGTTATTTCTCTTCTACTTTCTTCTGTTTAGTTTTCCACAATTTACTTTCTTGTATCAGTTCACTGCAACTGAGATGTAATACATACCTCTTTAATATTTATGGAGAGTCACTTCTTCAAAGGAATAGAAAAGGTGATAGAGAGAAGTAAGACAAAAGAGAAAAAATAGGAGAGAGCAGAGAGGAGAGCCGGAAGGGGGGCGCCCAATCTGCAATCCTACACCTCCCCACTGGATCGGGCTGTATGGTCTACCTTTTAGGTAGAGCGTATCTAAAAGCGTACCTAAAAGGGAGGCAGTGGAAACCTCCTTTAGGTTTCACTACCATGATGTTAACTGCACGGCCCCCAGGAGGCCCTGAGACTGCTGTATCAGTCAACCAGCAGAATTAGTGTTAGGTTTTCTACCCTTTTGACGCCCCCTGTTGAGGTAGGCCCACGACTGCCTTAGCTGCCCAAGTGATGCCAGCCCTCTTTAGCCACAGTAGCTGGTCCTCTCAGCGGTGTTAGCCAATTCTCTTAGAGCCTGCCGTTGTGCCTGTCCTCTGATCCCAATCTCTCTAAGCAGTTTTGCTGTCGTACTGGCTACAAAGCCCCTGCACCCCACTTCTTCCAGCCTCTGTCCTCTGCCCCAGCTGCCAAGTTGGCATACTGTCAGCTCAATGACGTACGCAAGTTTTTGGGATTTAGACCAGAGGACGAGGTCTGGTCGCAGAGTAGTTATTACGATCTCTGTGGGAAAAATTTGCCTCTGATCCAAGTCCACTTGCATCTGCCAATCCCTAGTGACCTACAGCGGGCCCAGGTCCGGGGTTGAAGGGCTAGTCCTCAGCTTGTCCCCCTCCCGGACAAATGATGAATACTGATGCTCCTTTTGGTTTGTGAAAGGTTGAGCTGGATTTTCTCTTGCACACAACTTTCTCGACTAGACACCCGAGGACATCCAGCATCAATCTATTAGTCAAATAATGTTTAATCTTGGCAGCTCTGTTTACTTATGCAGTTGCTCTGAAGTTCATACAATATACCATCATTTCCCACTGATGGAAAATTTCTACTGAATATTACAAACATAATCCTTTACTTCACAGAATGACATTGTCTGAGCATATAACCTTTAACTAGTTTCCCTGTTTGCATACGGTGTGTAAACCTAACCCAACCCTACCCCATACCTCTAAGCCAAGATTCTTAAACATTTAATACAGTATTTCATATAAAACCCTTAAGTTAACAATGAAACTCTGGCTGTTCAGCGTTAATTTACCACATATTCCATATATGTGATGTGCAAAGGCAGAACTGCAAAAAATGTGCATTTTGTCAACAAATTGTGGACACAAATGTAAATAGGAATAAAATATTATTCATATAGACTGGAAAAATAAATACAACATCTTGAAAAAGGAAAAAAAAAAAACTAATACAGAATCAACCCTACAGACTCCAGTGTTTTTGAATTCATAGTAAATCTGAAAACACCACATGCCTCTTACCCAAATTTAGATTCTGTTCTCTTTAGCGTAAAACAGTGATGTAGTTTTCCTGCCAGATGGGCTGTCTCAGTCTTTGAATATAATATTTTTTAAAATATCGATTGGACTAGTGGTTCCTGACTTAATAAGAAACCCACAGTTCACTGACAGAACAGTCAGTATAACAGACCAGTAATAGAATAAACTGAAGCATAATTAAATAAATGGAATCAACATAAATGCTGGATTATTATTATTTATTGATTATTATTAATTTTTACATCCTTGTGCACTTCTCTATTAATCTTGCTTTGTATAGACGTAAAATTCAGAAAAAGGTATCTGTCAAATAGCCACCTTTAGCTTGCCCATTAACATTATCGCTGTATGCAATCTAAATTTCACAACAACATAGACAACGTGATATCCAGCAGGACAGGAAGTTGGATCAAAGATTTTTTATTAGTGGAGACAAGTCTTGTATATTTTGACCATGATGCTAATAAGTATAAGAAAACTAGAGGTTAGAGTTAATATCACAAAATAATAATCAGTATGCAAGAGCAGTAAGTTCACACAGCTTTAAAAAAATGATATTCATACTTGCCATCTTGCACAAAGTGGTAGATAGTTTCAAATTACTTTATTTGGACATTCAATATGAATCAGCCAAAGAAAACACAATTTTCACTGTGCATATGATATTTTTTTTCTATAAAGACTTGAAACGTTTTCTCTGTATAAAAGACTTTGTTTTTTGGACTTGCAGTGTAAAGCAGCTACGGCTAACGTAAACAAGACACCGTAGATGTTCTTATTGTTGGGAAATTTGGAAACATATCTGGAAATTTCTTGACGAGTGCTTTGAATTGTTTTGAGTCTTTGGAGCTGTTCCTGAATACATGGTAACGATTACTGCAAGCCTCCACAAGGCGCTTCAGGTAACTTCTTTCACCGATAAATTTATCTACACTGCCCTTCAAATCTTCTCCGTGTGTAAACAGGATGATTGTGCTGTCCCTGATTCTCCAGCCAAGGCTTTTCTCTAGATTCTCTAATATGTTTCTCTCGCCATCTGTGAACCTGCCCAGCTGCATCACAAGTAACGTCACACAATGCCCTTCCTGACAGTACCTCTTACACTCTTCTACCTGTGCCTGGTTTACATGTTCCTCTTCATAAAAAAAGTCTGGGGTGTCAACTACTCTAACTGGTATCCCAAATATCTCCACTGTTTTCACCTCACACCTGGTGGTGACTGGTGTGGAGCTGGGATAAGACTGAAAATGTTGGTTTGAACCACCAGCAGTCAGGATGGTGTTTGCAGATGCACTCTTTCCAGTTCCGCTTTTCCCGAGAAGAACCATATTATAGAGACCTTCCCTTGAACCACAGACACCTGGAAGATGTGGTCAGACAAAACATTTAGTTATTTTAGCAGCAGGTCTTAGCAGTTGCTAGAGTCAGACATTAAGACTGCCTGTTTTGGGTTTTTTTAACCTCTAAATTTGTAAAGGAATATTTCAAATATTATGTAAATACTTTGATTTACTTTCCTGTCAAAGTTACATGTGTTGTGGTTTTTTGAAGCATACCATCATGTTGTCCGGGTGCTCTTTTTGCAGGCAGGGAAATCTGCTGTGAGCTGGCACCTAAAAATGGCATATCATATACTCATATACTGTGATTTTGTAATTTTGTAACAATACAGTCAGAAAACAGCAAATGCTGTACTTCTGAGCAACTATGTTAGTGATAGCTTTTGAGAGCATCTGTTTAATTTATAAATGCTGAGTCTGCTATGAGTGCAGTGTGTGTGATGAATCTCTTTTCAGTAGGTAACTTGACTGTCGTTATATTACTTTCTAACAGCATGGTCATCAAGCATCAGTGTCACTTTGCAGTTTTTTGTCCTACAACAAGTTACATTTCGGCCTGAAATCTGTATTTTTTTGTGATTTTCACTTATAGTTAATTTCCATACCATCAGAAACTGATACCAGAATCTCTGTCTTATTTTATCAACATCATGACACCCCAAAGTCACTTTAAAGATGTTCTCATAATGCGAGTGGTTGCAGTTCTGCTTCCCATCTATCAAGCAACTGTTCAAAAGGCAGTGAGACTGCAAGTTCATTGCAGTCTGTATGGCTGCAATAATGTTGGTCACATCATGATTTTCAGTCAGAGTTCCCACTATTCATAATCAGATCATTATGCATTTGGTTAATATTCTCAAATTTAAACAAATACTTTCATTTTAACTCAGTGTTTGAACTGATATGAGTGTGTTTATCAGAAAATTATTTTTCATTTTGAGCTGTGGTCTGAAATTTAATTTAAGATGCTGATGAAAATATTTTATTTATTGCCATAATTTATTACATAATATAATACATGACATAAAGCCATAAAGATCAGTTTCCTAAAATAGGTGGATTTAAGAAACTCACCTGTACTCCGAGGAGATTGCTGAGCATGCCACGAGTGTCTGAAACATTAATGTGGTCATTAAATATCAACAGAGAAGGAAATGATAAAATAGCACAACAATAGCTGTGGCAGGGGTTTTCTGCACTCTCTTGGTCCCAGCTTGTTTTTTTTCTTTAATAAATCTTCTGAAATGGATACTTACGCTTGTAATTGAGATTTAGCTTTTTTTGAAAGACAAAACATAATTTATTTTAGTTTTGCTTTGAAAAATATATCACAAAGGACTGAATTCTGTCATTACCTGTGTTTCACTTTGGTTTGCATTCCTGTCTCCGTAGAAGCAGACCTGCCAGGGTTGCTCTGATAAGTCTCACCTGTATAATCACACTTTCTCCTGATAAAACAGATTTGGAAAAAAATGAACTGCATTCTTCAATGAGTTAATTAAGTAATTAATTAATTAGGCTTCATGTTCATTTTATTTTACAGGATGAAGTTTGGACTTGTTAAATTATGAAGGAGAGATTTAACATGTGCTAAATGTCAGAAATACTACTGTAACTTGTGAGGATTGAACACATTTAGTTAACTATTGTGATCTAAGCATTATTCAGAATATAGAATTTTTTGTAGTATTTGAACATTGTGGAATTTCACCATTGATAGAGACAATAGAGAAATACAAACTAGTTGTTAATAAAATATGTCTCAGAGGGAGACAATTGTTACCTAGTGCGTATCAGGTGATCTTTCCTTCGTTTCACAGTGTGTTTGGGGTAGTTTTTGTAGTCAAACTGAAATGGCCGTTGGTGTGAACACCACTCCTTACATTGGAAAGCAAGATTTTCATTCATAGTTGCCATCTGGATATTGTACATTTCCTTAATGCGACCTTGTAAATTCTCTCGACTCTCTTCCAACACAATGACTATGTTTTCTGTGACATTTTCTCCAAACACACGTTGAAGGCGAGAGATTTGAGTCACAACTTTTTCCACTTGTGTGTTTTTTGAATCTATTACCAATATGAACAGACGAGGTCCAGGATCAGAAAGAGCCATGAAATCAATGATCAGCTGATCTGGGAAATCATATTGCTCATCAAAGAAATCACAAGTACTGATGATTCTGTAGAGGTTGTTGTTATGCTCAACAAAATTGCCCAGTTTTGTGACAGAAGCATTGGGACCTCTGATGATTGTACTTCCAGTCCTGTTCACTGAGTCAGCACTTTTTCCGAACAGAGCGATGGTAAACTTCCCAGGATAATCTTTAGGAAAGACAAACAAACTTAAATTTCCATAAAAATGTTGTACAAAACTTAAATCTGTCAATGTTCCTCCTTTATTCTACCTATGGGGTGTGATTCTTCTATAGTAGATTTATTTACACTTATTTTGATTATTTATATTTATTTAAAGATTTATTTTTAACCTCTTATTAAAAAAAACTAACAAAATGTCAGTAAACAGACAATATAATCACTTATCTGTATCTATGAATGACAAATATACTTCAAATTTGTGTCTCACTCACTCACTAAAAGCTCTAACGCTGTGCTGACACACACACACACACACACACACACGGCTCAAACTATCTATCTATCTATCTATCTATCTATCTATCTATCTGTTGTCAGTATATAATATTGTAATAAAGCTGTACAGCAGTAACTTACGTGGAGGCTGCGCAGAGCTCATCTTGTTAAGTGCTTAATCATGAAGACTGCAGGTTTCGCTGGAGTCTCTGAACTACCTTTGAAACAGATCAGACTCTTGATGATATAGGCTGAGAGATTAGATCCACCCTGTGGGTGGAGTGCGGTCTTTGATCTCACACTAAAACAGTGGAGTTGCGTTTCAGTTCATTCTCTATGAAGTCGCGAACAGACAGGAGATGGGCAACAGTGGGTCGATACCAGAAGGTGAAGTTGGAGCTTTAATTTGCTTCAGAATTTAGGCTTTCAGCAGAACCGAATAACACAAAGAATTGATAGGGAGAGATAATTTTTGCATAATTTAACTTCATTTATTGTGTGATTAACTCCTTGGGGACTGAACTGATGTAGCTACAGTACATAACAACAATAGTAGGAAGTAGGACAGAATCCCCCCAAATCTCTTACTCACTGGTGGTTGTGGAGATGAAGCAGGTGGAGGCTTAGTAGGCTCCGAGCAACCAGGATGACTTGGAGATGGAAAGGAGGTGGGTCATATGACAGTCTGAAAGGCAGAATGACAGAAGTGCACTGAGGTTTGTAGCACGGGGAATGAAGACTGATTTTCTCACACACGTGAGCAAGAATCAGTGTGGGAAAGTGGAGGTGATGTAAAGAATAGACTAGATTTCAAGTCTCTATGAACACAGTCAGATTAGATACCAATACTTTATCAATTAACTTAGGCTCTATTTAAAATCTATTCATCCATGCAATAAGTATAACAAAAACATGTTCTTTCTCCAGGTGACCCACTGAGGATTGTGATGATTGGTAAAACTGGTGTTGGGAAGAGTGCTGTTGGGAACACCATTATTGGAAAAGAGTTGTTTAAATCTGAAGTGAGTTCAGAGTCAGTGACAGAGACCTGTGCAAGAGAGCGAGTTAAATACTGCAAAAGAGATATCCATGTGGTCGATACCCCCGGCATTCTGGATACATTTAAAAAGGCAGATGACATAAAGAAGGAGATTGCGAAATGCATCCACATGGCCAGTCCTGGACCTCACGTCTTTCTGCTGGTCCTTCAGATTGGCAGGTTTACCCCAGAAGAAGAAAACTGTGTGGAAGCTCTGGAGAAACTCTTTGGACCTGAGGCATCGAACTACATGATTGTAGTCTTCACTCATGGTGACAAGCTGGCTGAGCAGAAGTCCATACAAGAGTATTTGACAGAAGGCCACCCTAAACTCAAAGAGGTAGTGAGCAGGTGTGGTAACAGGTATTATGTCTTCAACAACAAAGATAAGAACAGAATTCAAGTGGTTCAGCTGATCAAGAAGATCGATGAGATGGTAGCAGCAAATGAAGGATCACACTACACCGATGAAATGTTTGAGAAGGCACGGGAGATTCTGCAACACGAGTGTCAAAAGACACCAGAAAAGCTATTCAGCCACCGTGAGTTCATGGAAGAGCTGCGGCAAAAAACTCTCCAGTTTCAGCAAAAGTTGGCTTTTTTAGAGGACTAGCTCGGTGATTCAGGACCATTTTGACCATCATTTAAAGTTGATCATCTGCCATATGATGAACTAATTAATGGTAATAATTTTTAGTTAATGACAGTTTAGAATCCATTGTTATAGTTTCTAGATTTAGTGAAATGATTCTGGTGCTGATCATTTAAAATATGGTATGAAATTGGTTTCCATGTCAGCTGTATCACTGTAAATTCATCCATTTGTTCACATATTAGTCAAGTCTGGGTTCCAACTTTAAGTTTAAAATCAATAAAAATATGCAAACTCCAACTACATGTGTATAAGGGCAAACATTATCAAGCAAAGGGTGACAACTGATGTAAGGCTGTTAGACACCAAATGCACAGTGAAAAAAATGGCATCAACATGAAAGGATGCTGAGCTGTTGCTGATGTTTCTAAGCAGTAATAGAAGGAGAAGTTCATACAGTTCTCATGAGGAAATTCACAAAGTTGGTGCTACATAAAGAATAGGTCCAAATAATATTTTTAACACTCAAAATATTCCCACAGATTTTAGGCATCTGGTGTGTAAAGGCCTTTATTGTTTATGATGATTATAAATATAGAAAACACCACTTGTTATTATTCTGGAGATATACATAAAATCCTGACACGATTTAATTTAATAAAGAACATTTTCTAAAACTTTTTGTCTTTTCCTCACCACATCAGAATGTGATAATCTGGAGTTTACATTTTAGGGTAGATCCATGGAGCACACCTTTGAAAACTGAAATCTTAGTAGATGATTAGAACTCCTGGAGGTTGTGCTGGACCTCAAAATAATGCAGTGAATTTTAACACACGCTTTAATTTGAGATGCAATGGTTACAATTTACGATTCAATTACTTTTTAAAAAATATATTGTGAATTATTTAAGGTACATACCGTTATTACACATAAAAACATTTGATTATTTTAATTTTTTTCTGTGCTTTAACTGATTTTTTTTTACCTGTTTTTCTATCATGATCTTGACTGCTGTGGATACTAATGGACACCCTGTCATGGGTCGCACCGCTACTACACACCATGCCCCAGTGTGTTTGACCTGAAAGCCCGGTTCAGTAGTCTAGTGTGCTAGTTGCTGTGTTTGTGCACAGTTAAGTGATTAGTGCCCTGGCCTGTTTAAAGATGTGGGTCTGGGTGTGGTTCAGTTGGACTTGGGAATGATACATATGTAGTGTCATCATCAATTGCTTTGTTTAAGTAAATAAATCTGTAAGGCCTATGACAGGCCAGTGTTTCACAACTGTTGTCTCAGAATTAAGCAACAAAAAATAGAAAATGATTAACCCAACTCAATCATTAAACCCATGTGTTTGTCAAACTCCAAATGGAGCTGCCAGATTTTTAACTGGTTCAGAGAACAGCTGACACATCAGATCATTCCTGCTCTGGCTCAGTTACATGCATTAAAATACAACAGATATGAGTAAGGAAAGTAGGACAGAAGCAAAGAGATGTTAAAGTGGTGAGACATCGTGATACAAATTCAATTGTGTAGCTAAAGGCAACTGAAAAGTAAGCAGCAGGATTTCCTATGGATTGTTAAGGCCATAGACATATAAGTTTATATAACTGTAAATAACTCAGCCATACCAAAACCAGTGTCTGTGTTATTTTTGTAATTGTGATGAGAGCTAAAAAATGTGAACTTAACTCACTAGCTTTTAATTGTGACTGAGTTATTGTTTTGTTCTTTGTACGTGTTTGTTCCACTTTTTACTTTTTTACTATGTGCAGCACTTTGGTCAACCTGAGTTGTTTTCAAATGTGCTTATTAACAAATTGATTGATTGATTAAAAAAAAAACAACACAGACACACAGGCCTCATTCAAGAGAAATAATAATGAAATATTACTGTGAATGAGTTTTGTGTCTCTGCTTCTGTCTGCTTTTACATTTGAGCTTTTATTGATAGCTGGATGGTAGGAGATTTAGACTTTTTGGGTATAAAAACCTGTTATGTACAGAGCATGTTAGCATTTTTCTTTCCCACTATAAAAAAATAAATTAACATGATGTTATGACTTGATAATGATAATCTCAGATAATGTCATGTTATCTTATACGACACTATTATATTAGAAAACATATTATCTGACTGCAGTTTTACCTCATGAGACTGCAAATTGCTAATTGTATTTTTTTTATGAAAGCTTATGGGAAAAGAAGCCTTTTTCCCGCTTATCTTTATTACAACAAAAAAGAAAGGAAAACACTGACCAGTACACGAGGATAACAACAGATTGTCATAAGCAAACCAAAGACACTTTGGCCTTTGATTGTAGCACACTAATAAAATACTGATCTGTTGCTTTTATCCACGTGTTTCATTGTGATTTTTATACTTCTGATGTACTTTGGTTTTAAAACTTAAAACCATTTTTATACTTTTACACCCTGTTACTGCATGTAAAGGCCCAATTATGTGCTATCAGCCAAAACTGTTACCATTGCTTGTTAAAATTTTGCTTTGTTAGGAAACCTCTTTACATTTAATTAAGATGTTACTTTATTTGCAGCTGGACAGAAACTGTAGAGACTTTGAAATTCCATCATATAAACTTGCTGTTAGTGTGATTTGATGCTAATAAATAAAAGAGAAGTATTTCATTAGCCCCATGCACAGGGCGATCCGCGTTAACTTGCTAACAGAGTTTTGCTGCATTAATGCGGTTGTGGCGTTACTGTCATTTTAACGAGATTAACGCTGACAGCACTAATTGAAAAACATTTGATCTAACAGCTTAACCTCTTTTTAAATGCTTAAAAAGAAACACGGGGAAGTCCAACTACAAATCTGAAGTCAAGTAATAATAAAAAATAAATAAGTTTGGATTAATTTGTTACTGATTTCATAAACTTTGATTCATACTTTCATACTTTGAAGTGTAGTTTAATTGTAGAAGTAATTGTACTCAAATTTCAAACTCAGAATAAATTCAAATGGATCCTTTTTGTAAGCCAAATAATGAGATATTTTCAAATAGTGTAAGTTTTTTTTCCATTACATGTTGACTAAACATCCAAACAACCCACTGTCAAATAAATCAAATAAATTTACGCTGCAGCTGATACCTGTTAACAACTGAAACAACGGTGACACTTAGTGGAAAATAACCAACACTGCGAGTTACTGAGTCACAGTGAAGACACATAATGCTCTGACAGGAAGCATGTGTTATGTGTTAAATACTAACATATGTGCATACTTTGGTGTATGTACGCAGATTTATAAACACTACTTGATAAACAGCACTGCTAAAGTCAATGTATTTTTGTGTTACTTCTTTTTGATAAAGAAAAATGAAAAAGTAAATTTTTTTATGCGTTATTAGGTAGTGCCAAGAGCCATGGTTTCACCATCATTACCAACAATTTTCTTATCCATTTATAATAACACAATTTTAATACCCACTTATTTACTGGAGGCATGTATGCATATTACATCCTTGCTTTTAAAGTATATGAAAATATATAACCATTTAATTTATGAATATTAAATATTCATATTTAATATTAAATATGGTTGATAGATGTGACATGCAAATTTTAAAGTTCAGGTGAATCATTTCCGCTTAAAATAATGTATTCACTTCATGTGATTAAGTATTGTCCAAGGAATAGGTTGGGGCAGTACAAGGTGGCTCTATAGTATAGCGATTTACACATCAGATTAGTTGTACCTGTGATATATCCTGGCAATCTGTCATGGCCCAACAATAATTCTACACGGTCCAGAAGATATCCCATCCTGTCCACGGTTACTGGTCTTATGAATGCTTCTTGTGTCCAATTGTCCAGTCCCATAGTACGCGCTGACCATTAAGCATACAGTGAAGTATGTATATGTATTTAGCCGTGTCTCAGCATTTCCTAATTGTACAGCAGTATTCGTTTTTGCCATTAGATGGCAGTAGAGGCCTTGGTATGTCATTTAATTTATTTAACACAATAAATTTACATCCTGCGCATGGATCCAGAAAATCCGTGTTCCTCTCAGAGATGGTGGCTGTTGGATGTTCCAAGTGATTGATGTTATTAGATTGAAAAGCTGCTTACTAAGAAATGTATCAAGTTTCTAATTATGTCCCTAATTAATTACATAATGAGTTCCTTAATAAGTGTAATATCTTTAAGTAAAAGTATTTTTAGGCTGGATAGGACAGCATATAATACCCAGTGGGGCATGATCTGCTTGCTTATGAATGGGTGGTGTCTGTTTGGATCAGACTTTTGAAATGTTTGGTCTCCTATAAAATCTGCCAACATGTATCCTCCTCTGTGGCATTGTGAAGAACACAACAAGCTTATGTTGGATCAGAATATATTAACTCATTGGTGTCAGACCCTAATTCTCATTGAGGTCTTCCCTAATAAGGCCTAGCTTGTGGTTTCTCTGTTTCATCTGTTATCTTCACTGTCAGTACAGTTTCATGTATTTATTTCCATTTGGAGTTTTCATGCTTGTTTCCTCATCATTAACTGGGGACCACTGCCAAATGTTGTTAATTCACTGTTAGCAGGCACCACCATCAGGGCACCATGAACAACACTTTATATCAGTTTGCTTTTTCATCTGTAAAATCAAATTGTTGTAAACTACACAACCAACTTTTTGTTGGCAAATTTGGAGCAAAAACAAATGTAATTTGTGCAGACTTACCAATTTGCAGGTGCTAATAAATTAGCATAGCATGTTAATAGCATTAACATCAACTGGCTGTGTTACCTGGGAAGCTAATTAGCCACCCATTTAATGTCAGAGAATTGAGGTGAAGTCTGAGTAAAATGACAGTGTTGTGTTGCAGTTTTAAAGTATGGGGACATAAGTTTGTAAGTTTAGCTATTGCAGTTCATATGAGAAACAGCAGGAAAATGACTGATTTACTGATATTTATTCTATTTATGCTGTGATGAAATCAGAATAAGGAAGAGCGAACATGAAGATAATAGGGCAGAGAGAGCTCAAGAGTTGGGAGTTCGCCTTGTAATCGGAAGGTTGCCGGTTCGAGCCCCGGCTTGGACAGTCTCGGTCGTTGTGTCCTTGGGCAAGACACGTCACCCATTGCCTACTGGTGGTGGTCAGAGGGCCCGGTGGCGCCAGTGTCCGGCAGCCTCACCTCTGTTAGTGCGCCCCAGGGCAGCTGTGGCTACAATGTAGCTTGCCATCACCAGTGTGTGAATGTGTGGATGACTGGTTGTGTAAAGCGCTTTGGGGTCCTTAGGGACTAGTAAAGCGCTATACAAATACAGGCCATTTACCATTTAAGAATAGCCCAGACTAATATTTGGTCCAATCAAAATAGATTAATTTACTTACCCATCTGTAAGGCATGTGAAACACAAGCCATCTTTTCATCGGACATGCAATTTTTAAGTGTTTCTTAAATTTGTCCAGGATTTTAGATTACACATAAGGCAAAAGTATGATTTCAGTGGAAGGTTAGCAGTAGTAGCATTTAATTATAATTATTATACAGTCACAGTAAATTACACACCGCTTCAAACAATTATATTTGTACTTGCCACCCTTTACAAACTTGTAGATAGTTTTTAAATAAGATTATTCAGACATGGAGAGTGAATCAGCCAAAGCTAACACAAAGTTCACAGACAACATGATGTTTATTGATGGTTATAGTGTGAAAGCTGGAAACATTTCCTGACTATAAACAACTAACATTTGGGCATTCAGTGTGTGTTAGCCAAAGTTAACCGCAACAGAACAGTGGGAATGATTTTTTTGTTCTGAAACCTGGAAACATGTGTTCAGATGTCTCGATGAGTTCCTTGACCTGTCTGGAGTTCTTGGAGGTGTTCTTGAATACATGGTAACGATCGCCACAAGCTTCCACAATGCGCTTGAGATGAATCCGTTCACCAATAAACTGTTTCACATCACAATGCAGATTTTCTCCGTGTGTAAACAGGATGATTGTACGGTCGCTGATCCTGCCAAACTTGTTCTCCAGCTTCTCTAATATTCCTGCCTCACCATCTGTGAACCGGCCCAGCTGTATCACAAGTAATATCACATGCTGCCCTGACTTGCAGTACTGCTTACATGCCTTGATTTCTTCCTCATCTACGGGTTGGTCTTCGTAAAAGAAGTCTGGGGTGTCGACCACTCTAACCCGTCTCCCAAACATCTTTACCGTTATCTCCTCACACTTTGTGGTCACCGGTGTAGAGCTTGGGTAAGAAAAGAAATGCTGAGCTGGTGTACTCTGATGCTTTCCAGCATTCAGGAGGGTGTTTCCTGATGCACTCTTCCCAGTCCCAGAGTTTCCCAACAGAATGATATTAAATACGTTACCCCTGCCACCTGGAAGAAATAGTAATAGCAAACAGTCAGTTATTTGGCAACAGATATAACCTGAGACGTAACAGAAAGGATCAAAACCTTATTAATCTAACCTCTTTCTGCAGATGAAGCAAACCACCATCAGCTGGACTGACTTGGCACATTGTATTTTTAAGCAGGCAATGTCAGTTAAATTAACCCGACTGAGGTACTGTCTTCATGTATTATGGACAATGCAATACAACAGTGACTTCATAAAGCTGATGAAGCAAAGCGGGCACGGTCATGACAGATCACATTAGCTCACAGTATAAGTCTCACATAAAGTCTCACTGATTACTCAGAAAAGGAAGGTTGTTGCAGTGAAGCTGATCACGTGTGGAGAAGAGTGAAGCTCTGCTTAAAAAGTCTCCATCCTACTTTTTCTTATTATTAAGAACAATCCACCATTACAAACTGAAACCACATATTGCAAAAGAAATAAACCAGTTTTTGTCATATTATATCACCCAAACAGTTATATCTTATTAACACATATTAAATTAAGGACACTATGTTGTTGGGAAAATTTGACAAATGTAGTATACTGATTCTATAAAACTGGGTCATTATTTAACCACCAGGTCCGAACTATCCTTAGAATTAGTATTATATAAAAGTATTCTCATTAACTTAGCTCATATGAAACACAGTTTGGATGTGTAAGAAAACAAATTGCTGCTGAGATTAATAATTGATAAACATGTATTAAATTGAGTGCCAAATCTTAAATACTTTTTATTTATATTTAAATAGCTACAGAAATACTGCAATTCAGTCCTGAATGTATATTTGAAGTTTTTAAATTCCTGATGCTATGATATTAAACACAATACTTTTAATGTGATAGAATCATTGATGCCATGAAGGAATTAAATTAACAAGACGTCACTTACCTGAACGTGTAGCTGAGCTCATCTTAGCAGCTTTCTTAATGATGTGCTGACAGTGTGCAGGTTTCAGTGGAGTATTTGAAACACCTTTAAGGCTCCTGCTGTGTATACTGAGAAAATAGATCCACCCCCTAGATGGGCGGAGCGCTATCATCTACTTCACACTCAAAGAGTGGAATGCTGTTTAATTTCATTCCAACAAAAAAGTCACAGACTAAACATCAGCAGAGAGAATCAGATTTATATTGCTGATTTATATTGCTGTAAAAAGTTAGATAAAACTTGTCAAATTTAATGCAATATAAAATGTATATTTTTCTGCAGGTCCTCCAAAGAAGGATTGTTACAGTATTATTGGCCAATGTGGTGTTGGTCAATAATACAGGCAGGGTAATTAGTTAGATAAAATGAATTCATGATTGGCCAGTTAAATCTCTCTGGTCGATGCTGTTGGCATTCTGGTTGACTCTAAAAGTACAGAAATTGCAAACTGCATCTACTTGTCCTCTCCTGGGGCTCACGTCTTCCTGTTGGTCCTTCAGATAGACAGGCTCTCCAAAGAGGGAAAAGTCAGATTTAATATTTTGTGTGTCTTTCTGTGCCATTATCAGTGAAATATAGGGATTAGGCTATTTGCATCATTACATTCTGTGAAACAACAGCAATGTGAAACAACTAGCTGTACTGTTGCTGTGGTTTCGTATATTCATTGTTTGTACATATGTGAAGGAAGCAGACCAACCAGTATTCCCTCCTAACTTTTCACAAAATGATGCTTTGATAAGACTGGTAGATGTTTCATTTCTACAAAAACAAAGAACAGTGTGAAAAGTGTGTTCAAAGCAGAATTCCTTCAAAGTCTAAAGTAGACCCCATGAGAGTGCAGGTAAACCAGGTACATTTGTTGCCTCAAAACACAAAGGAGGTGGTGGAACTTCCCTGCACAATGCTGAAATTATTTAAATGATATACTCTATATAATACTTTATATCAAATAGTGATGATAAATCAGTGCAAACAAAGATCACATGGAGATCCCTGTGTGTTAATTATCCTGCCTCTTCCACTGAGCATTCCCATGATCTTTGTGCACATCTTAAATAACTCTGAGTCTCTTCACCTAGCAAGTCATTGGTTTAATCAAGCCCCATTCCCATGCTTCATGGTTTCAGGAATTTTACAGCATGGTGGGATATGGCCTACTCTGGATGCTGTGAAGTGGGATTATGGGGGTTGTTGGCTTTGTATTGGTAGGAGAAAAACACATAACACATTTATAATAGCTAGAGAGCACTACAGGACTCACTGTCACTGGACTGGGATGTTATGTCTGGGCTCTCTTTGATCACAACAGGAACCCTGAATGATGGTGAAAACCTTCCCCTATGTTTGAGGCTCAACATGCTAGGACACTAATATCCACATTTGGACTTGTTGCAGTACAAGGCCATCAAATCTCGGTGGAGGCTTCTTATGAAGTTAACATTAATGATGTAATCTAAGGAGCACACAGAAAGTGGTATGAGTGATAAAATGCAAATAATTAAAAAGGAAAATAAGATAAAAATTATAACAACAACAACAACAAAATAGAAACAAGATGATACTTGAGACTCAATATGAATAGCAGAATAATTAGAGTTTATTATTTGCTTTCCCCTTTTTGTCCCCTTCAAAAAATCTTCCTTTGTATAGACAGAATAAATGTTTATGAAATCATATTTAACTAATCAAAATTGTGCCTTGATCTGACTAATGTTACACATAAACCTCACAATAAGCCTTTTTCAACATATCAGCAACCCTTTTTATCACAACTAAAAATAAATAAATGAAAGAAAACTGTATTGCAAATGTTTTATTGCTGCATATAGAGTCCTGACCCTAAAGTTAAGAAAACCTTTCATATGATCAAAATCAGAGTTTCAGAATAAAGGATTTTAAGAAGACTCAATTGTTCATGCATTTATAAATATGATGGAACAAAATAAGTTAGAGTTACTCACGCTGAGATTTGGAAGAATTAATTTTGTTAGTTGATTAATAACGAACAGTGTGCAGGTTTCACCAGAAACAGAATCAGCTTTGAAATGTATCAGATACATTCCTGGTGATATAGGCTGAGAGGTTAGCTCCACCCACTGGGCAGAGTCCAGGGAGCTTCTTTGCATAAACAGAGTGGAGAACTGAGTTTCTGTTCATTAGCCAAAAAGAGAAGAATTAAGATGGGCAATGGTGCTGCAATCCCTGATGGTAAAATTGGCTTCTTTATTTATATTTCCTCTTAATACTGCAGTCAGTGTTTTAGGTGCCACTTGTTTCATTTTTATTGCAGCTTAAAATATATTTATTTAAACAGTAATAATGAATATTTCTTTCCATAGGTCCTTCACGAAGGATCGTGATGACTGGGAAAACTGGTGTTGGGAAGAGTGCTGTTGGCAACACCATCCTGGGGGGACCTCAATTTAAATCTAATGTGAGCTCAGAGTCAGTGACGCAAACCTGTGAGTTTGAAAATGTTCCAAATTCTTTAAGAAAGATCAATGTGGTCGACACACTCGGTCTTCTGGACACATCTAAAACTGCAGACAGTATAAAAAAAGAAATCGCAAAATGTATTCAGATTACTACTCCGGGCCCTCATGTCTTCCTGCTGGTCCTACAGATTGGTAGGTTTACCAAAGAAAAGCAAAACTGTGTGGATGCCCTGGAAAAACTGTTTGGACCAAAGGCCTCAAACTACATGATTGTTGTGTTTACTCATGGTGACAAACTGACTACACAGGGCATAACAATAGAACATTATCTTTAAAAGGGCCATGAGAAGGTTAAACAGTTGCTGAACAGATGTGGTAACAGGTATCATATGTTTGACAACAGTAACATCAAGAACAGAGCTCAGGTTGTTGAGCTGATCAAAAAAAATGATGAGATGGTGGCATCAAATAAAGAAACTTACTACACTGATGAAATGTTTGAGGAGGCAGCAAGAATTCTGGAGCTGAACAAGAAAAAAGAAACCGAACAACAGCTGACTAACAATGTACCCTTCATGTCTAATGTCAGGGAAAAAGTTCTTTTGTTTCAGAAGATCTTGGCAGAGGATGAAGCTGAGTAGGGCCACACTGACCCTACCTACACTCAAACATGGAACTTTAAATAATCCTCACTTATTTAGTTTTTTGTAATTACATTGGGTCATCACAAGAATTAAATAAGACATTAATTATTATTTTCAATATTGTGGTTGTATTTTGAGGAGCTATATGTATGTACATTAATATTTAATCTTATGTAATAATCCTTTATGTAAATGAATGTTATAAGGCAAATAAGGAAAATTCCTGATCACTATTATTTTATGTGCACATGAAACCCAACTTTGATTGAATAAAAAGCTTTAGAGAAAAACGTTTGATCTTTGGATCTTCATTTTCCAAACCACAATGAAAGTGAACACACACACACGGTTTAGGCATAATGAATTAACTGAATTAAGATTACACTATCATCACATGTATGAATCGTGTTACATTAACCCTATGCTGGGTAAAATGTTGCTACAGATGTTTAAGGTTTAAGTCCTTCTGAAATCTAGATTTTGCTTAATATATACTAATTCATCATATTCTATGAAATCATCTGTAGAAGCTGTCCTGTGAGGACCATGTTGCTCTAAAAAAACAGCTTTTAATAATCTCAGAAAAACAAGCCTACATCTTGATTTTAAAAAGTAGATTTAAATACATAAATAATCATTTTAAAACTCCAAAGGGGATTTTTAACGTTTGAGCAGAGTATGGCATGGCTAAATTTCAACGTGGTGTGTTGGCGAATGGCTGTTTAGTAATTTCATACATACATGATTAAAAATCCCAATCTGCAATTAATACAATACAAAATACTGCATAGAGTGCACTATAC